AAAACTTATTTGAATTTCCATTCTCCTGCAGGTCACCAGCTTCACCACCATCGGCAAGAAGGGCACCATTCCAATGCCGTCGTCGAGCGCCATTAGCGCGCTGCAAATGAATCAGCAGCGTCAAATAGCCACCATTGAAACACCACCGAATAGCGCCTCGCTGCCAATGCAGATACCCACAGTGACGTGCGATCTCGCGTCGGACATTTCCACATCGGAGGCAGCCGACATGGAGCCGCATCCACTCGTCTATCCGAATGGCAACTCAAACGTACCGTCCCCGCTCAGCATGCTCACGCCTGGTTCACCAAACTGCACGCTGTCCGCGACGGACCGGGAAACACTGAAGGTGAGTACAATAGCGACGAGCCGCGGCGCCCTAAATGTGCCCGTGCCACCGTCAATGGCCGCTGCAGCTACGTCCAATTCACCAGCTTCCAACAATAATAACAATGATAGTGCCACGCCCATCGGCACTGATGGCGTGACTAGTGGGACGGCGCCAACAACAACTGCCACAGGAGCCTCCAATGCCATGTCCACCGGCGCGACGCTAATGACACCGAACGCGAGTGGTGGCGCAGCGGCGGCGACAGCAGGCGCATCACCAAATGAGTTACGCGTCTCTCCTATAGCAGGCCGGTGTCGCGCACTCTCGGTAGGTATTGACACCGATATGGTTAGCGAATTCGATCCATCCAGCTCCGATTCGGGTGTGGTAAGTCGTTGCGCAGTGGTAAAGCCGCTGAAGTTCCGACTATGCCAACCGATCTTCGGACGCAAAGCGGCAAACCAAGCGCGACGAAACGAAGCAAAGGCGACTGCCACAGCGGTGGCGACATCGAAAACATTGAAACCCTCCGAAGTGGTAAAAGCCGAACTGGAACCGGCCATACCAAAGGTTCAAAAACCACGCGATCCCGAAAAGGAGAAGCGGCGCATCGCTCGCAAAAAAGAGAAGCGTGCCACACTTATATTGGGTCTAATTATGGGCAGTTTTATAGCCTGCTGGTTACCTTTCTTCTTCCTCTACATCCTGGTGCCGGCCTGTGGCAGCTATTGCGACATACCGGATTCGGCGTTCGCGATCGCTTTCTGGCTGGGCTACATGAACTCCGCCTTGAATCCGGCCATTTACACCATCTTCAACAAGGACTTTAGGCGCGCCTTTCGGCGTATACTATTCAAGTGATGTNCTGCCGTTCTTCTTCCTCTACATCCTGGTGCCGGCCTGTGGCAGCTATTGCGACATACCGGATTCGGCGTTCGCGATCGCTTTCTGGCTGGGCTACATGAACTCCGCCTTGAATCCGGCCATTTACACCATCTTCAACAAGGACTTTAGGCGCGCCTTTCGGCGTATACTATTCAAGTGATGTTTGGCCTATGTGTGCTGTTATCGGTGCGTTCATGCGAGCATTGAGAAGGCCACCGAACGTGCCATGGGCAGCACACCCATTGGTTATGGCATGTACCATTATAGGCGATAGATTTGGTTATTTGCTTTTGTGCGCTAAAAAAAAAGAAACGAAAACTGGAAGCGGAAATGGAAATGGAAAAGAACAACTCCAAATATATATATTGGTCCAATACCCATTTACTGTGAATGAATGAAAGGTATAGACTAGGATCGTCTTTAAAAAAAATCTATAGTCCAGTACTTGCAATGGTAATTTCAAATGGTTTTTGTTTTTGTATGTATTTTCGCGTTCAATTAAATTCGGTTATTGCAATATTTTTAAATTGGAATATGCAACTCTCCATTGACTGCACATAAACGTTATTTCATTATTGTGTATAATCGTTACGAAAATTGTTGACAAAATAAAATTAGTGCTCATTTTAAAGCAATGAACGGCTGTGAAACCAATGGGTAATTCATATTGCTTTCCAATTAAATAGTTTTGCGATTTGATTTCTTAGTTTC